ATCATGGGTTGCAGACTGCTGACTTCTCACTGGGTCTTCACATGGTGGAGGGGATGAGGGATCTCTCTGGGGTCTCTTTTAGAAGGGCACTAATCCCAATCAGGAGGGCTCCACGCTCATGACCTCATCACCTCCCAAAGGCCCCACCTCCTAATCCAATCACTTTGGGGGTCATATTTCAGGATATGAATGGAGGGGGCAGGAACATTCAGACCCTAGCATCACCTGTTGTATTGGATAAATTGTCTGTGCTCACATGTAAGGTCAGCTCCTCCCCTTGTTCACTAGACCTACCCACACTTCTGCTCCTACTACATGGACCCCACAACTGTCCAACATCTCTCCCATGTCATCCATTTTCCCCTTTCTACGAGATTTTTCCATCAGTATACAAATATGCTATGTATAATATAGCCCACCTTCAAACAAAAAAAAAAACACAAAAAAGCTTGATCCAACCACCTTCTCTAGCCACCAGCCCAATTCTTTGCTTTTCTTTTCACCAAAACGCCTTTAAATTCATACCCACTGTCATTAAAAATTAAGAGAGAAAATAAGGTGTTGGCAAGGATGTAGAGAAATGGGAACCCTCATACATTACTGGGGGGGATGTAAAATGGTGCAATCCCACAGAAAGTTAAACACAGCATTATCAAATGACCCAGCGATTCCACTCTTAAGTATGTACCCAAGAGAACTGAAGACATATGTTCATACAAAAACTTGTACATGGGTGCTCATAGCAGCTTTATTCATAATAGCAAAAAAGTAGAAACAACATAATGTCCACCAACTGATGAAAAATAAACAAAATGTGGTATATCCAAACAATGGACTATTATTCAGCCACAAAAAGGAATGAAGTATGGATATTTGCTACAACATAGACGAACCCTGAAAACATGCTAAGTGACAGAAGCCAGACACAAAAGACCACATATTATATGATTCCTTTTATATGAAATGTCCATAATAGGCAAATCCACACAAACAGAAAGTAGATTTGTGGTTGCAGGGGACTGGGGAGAGAGGGAATGAGGTACGATTGCCAATGGGTAAGGGATTTTTTTGGCGGGGTGATGAAAAGTTCTGGAATTAGTGAATGTCTGGAATCCACAACATTGTAGATACACTAAAAACCATAGGATTGTATACTTTAAAAGGATGAATGTTTTGGTAAGTACATTGTATTTCAATTTTTAAAGATTTTATTTATATATTTATTTGAGGGGGAGGGACAGAGAGAATCTCAAGCAGACTCCACAATGAGTGCAGAGCTGGATGCCGGGCTCAATCTCAAGACCCCGAGATCATGACCTGAGCTGAAATCAAAATTTGGGTGCTTAACTCACTGAGCCACCCAGGTGCCCAGTACATTGTATTTCAGTTTTAAGATGATTCTAACTGGTCTAAACCTATCTTGACTCCTGTTTTCCCACTGTTTTCTTGGGCCTACCGGTTTTCCTTCCCAGTACCCCATAGAAACTACTATTTTCCAGTGTCATCTATGCCCTGTTGTTTCCTGTAGTTTTAATCGAAATCTTTTCAGCAGAATGTCAAGGAAAAATAGTTTAAAATTCCTTTAGTAAATCCTCATGACAGAGGATTCTGGAAGTTGTAGAAAGGAAGCTCAATATGTTCATTAAGGACAATATTTTGTCATATTCTATAGTGCATGATAAGGTGTGAAATTATGCATTTTTGTACCATAGCTGTTTTAGGTGTCTGTTTAAGGAGAGCATATATTAAAACTAAAAGCCTTTTGAATTTTATTCCCCAAATCCTGTAAGTATTTTCTTCTTTCCAATCCAATTAAGTAAAACTATTTACCATCTCAGTGTATCCAGTTAGCTTTGGAAGGGCAGGCAGTTCAGTATTTCAGACAAACTAGGACCCTGCTGCTTGAGAAGCAGATGTTCACATTTATGTCTCATCATAAGCTGCCCTAATTCTGCATCTCCAGTTTTGTCTCCTCCAAATTCCCCACCCCAAACTCTTTGCTCTAGTCAAGCTCACTTATTTTCTGTCCCCAAATAATAAAACGGGCATTTCCATTTCTAAGATTTTGCTAAGACCTTTGTCCTTCTCTGGAATGTTCCCTTCCTTTCCCTCTGCCCATCCTTCAAGACTTATTTGAGATTCTGTTCATTTGTTTATTCATAAACACTGAGTGTGTACTCTATGCAGTGTACTGTCTGGAATGTTATGCTGGGGTTCAATAAAAACAAGGCTGTCCTTATGTAATTTATGTTCTATCAGGAAAATGATACAAAATGAATTAAAACTAATTATTACAATTGTGATAAATGCTAATAATATGAGGCACAGGAAAATAAGATAACTTATAATGGGGGAAATGAACTGATCCAGGGCATCAGAAAGGCGTTCTCTCATATATTGTTGTTACAACCTCTTTGGAAATAATACAGCAATATATTCAATCACAAAGACCCTTTTTTGTTTTTTCAAAGATTTTATTTATTTGTCAGAGAGAGAGAGTACAAGCAGGGGGAGTGGCAGGCAGAGAGAGAAGCAGGCTCCCAGCTCTATCCCAGGATCCTGGGATCATGACCTGGGCTGAAGGCAGATGCTTAATCGACTGAGTCACCCAGGCATCCCAATCATATAGACCCTTTAACCAAGAAATTCATTCTTTTTCCTTATCCAAGTATAATTAACATATATTCAAGTGTTATACTAGTTTCAGGTGTACAATATAACGATCCAACAATTCTATTTCTCAGTGCCAGCAATTCCACTTTTGAGAGTCTATGATTTAACAGTGAAAGTACCAGCACTTAAAGTGGCATGTGACTGGGGCACCTGGGTGGCTCGGTTGGTGAAGCGTCCCACTCTTGACTCTTGGTTTTGACTCAGGTCATGATCTCAGGGTCATGAGAAGGAGCCCTGCATCAGGCTCCACATTCAGCAGGGAGTCAGCTTGAGATTCTCTCTCTCCCTCTCCCTTTGCCCCTCCCCTCCTCTGCTCTCTCTCTCTCTAAAATAAATAAATAAATCTATTTTTTTTAAAGATTTTATTTATTTATTTATTAGAGAGCAAGCAAGAGAGAAACAGCATGAGAGGGGAGAGGGTCAGAGGGAGAAGCAGGCTCCCCGCTGAGCAGGGAGCCCGATGTGGGACTCGATCCCAGGACCCTGGGATCATGACCTGAGCTGAAGGCAGTTGCTTAACCAACTGAGCCACCCTGGCGCCCTAATAAATAAATCTAAAAAAAATAAAATTGTGTGTGACTTTTGTTCCTAGCAAAGTTGCAAGTCTTACAAGGTTTAAAATCTCACCCAGCCAAGCTGCCCATGAGGTTAACTCTCCAAGCCAGTCTTGTGGATGGAGGAAAGTAAATGAAGGTAATCTAATGTGCCATAAAGTACTATTCATGTGGGTGCACTGATCATGCACAAAACATGCAAGGGAGGGACCCCAGGGTGGCTCAGTCGTTAAGCGTCTGCCTTCGGCTCAGGTCATGATCCCAGGGTCCTGGGATCGAGCCCCGCATCGGGCTCCCTGCTCTGTGGGAAGCCTGCTTCTCCCTCTCCCCTCCCCCTGCTTGTGTTCCCTCTCTCACTCTGTCTCTCTCTGTCAAATAAATAAATAAAATCTTTAAAAAAAAAAACATTTCAGAGAGATCAGATTTAGGTCTAATTGCATAATACAATGGATCCAGCACGAGAGCTTGCTATAAGATCCTGATGGATGTCTCCCAGTAAAAACTTGCCCATTAATGTGCTTTGACAAAATGGTTGCTGAAAATGAGGGCAATGGTCAGGGTGACTACTCAAGGCACATTTTATTGGTCAGATTAGTTGATATGTATCATCCTTTGCCTCTGGAAGGCAAATTACTATGTAAGATCCTGTCCAGCTGGTAAAACACGGCTTCACTGCATTGTACCTTGAAGTAGAGGCTATCTGTTGTTAGGCTGAAGACAGAATAGTTCATCTTTACACAGGCTGGACAAGTGCCCAGTCTCCTGAGACAGTACCTGAGATTGTTTGGTTGCTGAGCGAAGGCAGCAAAAATCAAGCACGGTCAACTGAAGGCTGTGAAAGACTTGAGGGAGCAGGCATGCAGTAGACTACATGCCATCTAACCTTTGAAAAGGAAGTCTTACAGCATCAATAGTGTAGCCTTGTGCAGTATTTCACCTGTTTCCATTCTGGACCAGTTGACATTGTCTAGTTATTTTACCTCCGATTACTGTGCTATCATTGAAGTCAAATTCCTTGTGAAGGAATTTGTAATACGTGTAACATAATCCACATATGGTTAATGATGGTTCCTTTGACATTCAGGTGAGTGTGGCTGAGACAGCTTGTCTGATTGAGTACCCTAGTGAGCAAGGTGTGCACTGAAGAGTTATATTGCTTGCAGGGTTGAGTAATTCTCAAACAAGCGATTTGGGTGGCCATTAGGCATGGACATGAATGTCACATTCTTTGTTAGGTAGAGGCATGGATCTGTCCTTATACTGTAATACCACCACCAGTAATTGCACCTTTGTGGGTTATTAGGAATGATATTGGCAGATACACATCTGGATCTGTGTGCTGCTCACTTGCTTTCCTGGCTTCTTCAAAGCCAAATGACAGTACAGAATCCCTAACACCTCTCTATGGTGGCTGCAGTGGGGACAGAGGAGAGCAGCTTCCATGGTGATGTTACAGATAACATCCTCATGTGGTAAGTCTTCATGGCGGGAAACATGTGTTAAGCTTGATATATCGAGGGGTGCCTCTTGAATAGCACTGTGAGCCTGATATTTCCATGCCGGAGCTACCAAACTGAGAAATGGTTATCAGGAGGAGCAGTAGGAATAACAGCCTGGGGGTGCCTGGGTGGCTTAGTCGTTAAGCGTCTGCCTTCAGCTCAGGTCATGATCCCAGGGTCCTGGGATTGAGCCCCGCATCGGGCTCCCTGCTCCGTGGGAAGGCTGCTTCTCCCTGTCCCTCTTCTGCTGCCCCTGCTTGTGCTTTCTCTCTCTCTGTATCAAATAAATAAATAAAATCTTAAAAAAAAAAAGGAATAATAGCTCAGCTCAATAACTGTAGGCAGTGGAAGCATGAACCCACATGGGGTGATGATTGAACCAGTGGGAGGAGTTCCTTGGGACATACTGGAACACAGGAATGTCACATCAGACTGGAGTTTATTGATCTTTGTGTTACTTGCCTTGATTGTTGCACTGGTGACTGTAGCTAATGATTCTACAGCCGCTCTAACAACAGAGATGTCTGATATCAACTTGTCTGTGATATAAGATCGATGAATATGTCTCTATGTCAGAATCACTCAGAGCTCTTTTTCCTCTTTGTAGCTCACTCTAGATGGGCCCCTTGGTTGAAAGCTCCTCTGATCCTGTCTCTTGGTCTGAGAGAGCTGAACTTACCCCTGAGCTACCATGTCACATATCTTGGAGGTAACTCCTCAGATAGTGCTGGGATATTAATTGCAATCAGCTGCTCCAGGTTGTATCCTGAACATGGCTCTGTTGACCTTGAAACCATGGATTAGGAGCATTCAGAGGAGCTCTGCAACTGCTGACATTTCCAGAATCCAACACTGGTTCCAAGGCATAGTTTTTAGTGGTGGAAAAACTGGATACCACATGACTGTCCAGGAATAAGCAATAAGGGAAAAAAGATTAATTTCTGGTATTTCTACACTATGGAATATTATACAGCTGATAAACATAAATTAGATCTATATGATTTATCTCAAATAATATTGGTTATAAAAGCAAGTTTTAAATCAGTTTTTTAGAATGAGTCCATACTCATAAAAATCTACACATGCTTGTATATTTGAAAGAGCTTGGAGAAAGATGACAGGGCACTTGCTAAACTGTTAACATTGGTTACTTCTAATATATGGGCAAAATAACGGGGACCTCTTTTAGAGGATTTCATATCTCCAAGGAATGGATTATTAGCTTTTACTTTGTATATCTTTGGATTTCCTCACTCGTTACAAAATTAGCTGTCATTAAAATTAATGAAAAATTTTAATTTTGTTAGGGGAAAGGGCCACTAAATTTTTCTTAACTTACCCAACAGCATCTAATACAATAAACATTCTATAAATATTTGTGGAAGAAGACAGGAGGAGAGGAGAAACAGACTTAAATATTTGGTAGAGATAAAAAAATAACCATTAAACCACTAATGGCATGATGAAGCATTGTGGAACCTCTAAATGGGCAGTGAGAGAGGGGAAAAAAGAGAAACTTGATCAGGCTGGCAAAATAAAATGGGAAAAAGTGAAAAAAGCAAAGTAAAATAAGATATTATAAGATCAACATTGCAGTTACTCCAATAAATGTAAATGGGTTGAATTTACCTATCAAGTGAAAAAAATCTTTCATATTGGTTAAAGTCAAGGCGTCAGCAGGGCTGTGTTCCTTTTGGAGACTAGGGGAGTATCTCCAACACCTTGCTCATTCAGGTGTTGGCACTATTCAATTCCATGAGGTTATAGGACTGCGATCTCGTTACCTTGGTGACTGTCAGCAAGGAGCAGACCTTAGCTCCTTGAGGCCTCTCAGGCCCTTGCAGATAGCCTTCAACATTTCAGAAGCAGCAACAGGGAGTGGCATCCTTCTCAGGCTTTGAATTTCTCCAGTGATTGGATTGGGCCTACCTCCCCCACCCCTCCATAATTCAGGATAATGTCTTCACAAGGTCCTTAATTTTAATCACATCTGCAAAATTCCTTTTGTAAGGTAACATTCCCAGGTTCTGGGAATTAGGGTGTGGACAGCTTTGGGGGCCATTAATCTGCCTATCACAGTGAAGGACCTAAACAATTTTAAATAAATGTAGAAAAGGGTCACATTTTTGGATGGGAAGATGTGCTATTTGTAAAGATGTCATTTCTACCTGAATTAGCCTACAAATTCTGTGCAAGATGTTTTAATGATAAGCAAAATTGGATTTTGAATCAAGTGAGGGGATAGATACTCAGAGAAGACTGTATTGCTTAGAAAAAAAGAAACACATTTCTTGCACTTTAACTCAGGTAGACTTACACATATTCTAGATACACATATACCAATATCATGCACAAGGGCAAGGTAACAGATCCCATTGTTTCCAATATTCTGTTAACATCCAGGATTTTTCTACTCACTGTCCTACTGTCCAGGAATAAGGAGTAGACTGTGATATAAGATCGATGAATATGTCTTCTATGTCAGAATCACTCAGAGCTCTTTTTCCTCTTTGTAGCTCACTCTAGATGGGCCCCTTGGTTGAAAGTTCCTCTGATCCTGTCTCTTGGATCTCAACAAAGAACATGCCCAAGGAAGAGAGGAGAAAAGGCAAAAGGAGAAAGGTAAGTCTACTCACCTTATTTTAGGAACACATTTAACTGATATTTTGAACCATTTACAGAGACTACCACCCTTTCCTTTTTAATAACCAAATAACCGAAAGCTCCAGACTCCATCATCCTGTTTTTCCCCAACACATCCTTTTTACACTTCTCAAATCTGAAACTCATTTTATTTTTCTGTCCACTCATACAGCTTCATGAGAAATTTCAGGAAAAGTTCCTGGCAGTTGTGCACTCTGTCTTCTCAGTTTACTTGTGATACCACTTAGAAAAACGTTTCTAAAGAAACATTTCTTTCCTTAAGAACGATTTCCATCGCGATGTTTCCCTAGAGATGTGGATGGTACTGCGAACTGTACCAAGGCAGGTTACGTGGGTGGGTGCAGATTCTGTGATAAGGTTTTTATCCCCTCCATTTCTTTGCCTGTTTGGGGATGTGGGCTGAAGAGGAGTAAGAGAAAAATTTATTTGTATCTCCTCCAAAGAAAGTAACTTTAGTAAAACCGCCACTCTTGACTTGCAAAGAAGCTCATATAATGACTATTTACAGATGTGATTAGTTCATTCAAAGAAAAGTTATTTCAAGGCAATTGTCATGCTTTATTAAGCCTAAGTATGTTCGGAATGTATCCCATTTACAAATCCCCGGAAATAAAACAGTCACCATTGTTTAATCCCCGACACCAAGCACAGAGTCCTCGGATTTGACTTCTCAGCAGTCATTCTGACCCCCTGGTTATATATAGATCAACTGTGGGTGTCTTGCATTTCTGTCTCCAACTTTCTTAACCGTTACTAGGCAAAACATGGGCATAAGCAACCTTTTCTAAGTTAATACTGCACTAACAGAGATCCTGGGAAGTCCGCAGCCCGGCACTGGTCAGGAAGAAGTGGCCGTGAAGGGTCCAGGGAGGTTCAGCCCGATTCTGCAACTTCCCAGAGGGTGGAGGCAACGGCCCAGCCCGCACCCGCCCAGCAGAAGGTCGCGCGAAAATCCGCCACTCTACCAGTTTCAACAAAGAACATGCCCACGGATACCCGGATGCAGCAGGTCCACCCCCGCTTCCCCCACCGGGGACGAGACTCCTGCGCATCCAGGACTTTGCGCAAGGTGGGCGGGGTGGGGCGGGGCGCGGGAAGAGAGGAGAAAGGGCGGCGGTTGGGCGAGAGGGGAGCCACGCCCACCGCTCCAACGTTTCTGCGCATGCTCTGCGCGTCAGCTTCTGGTATTTTAGGCGCGTCTGCGGACGTCGGCGTCTGGAGGTTGGAGGGAGAGGTCGAGTATCTGGTTTTTCAAGAGCCGCTTTGAAAAGCCTCTCTTCATCTTCAGCTTCGGAAAGGAAGGCCTCTGTTCGTCCTTTCCTTTGGCCTTCGGTGTGGCGTTGGCGGCCTGTGGTGGTAAGTTTACTGGTGACGGGGTCGGTCCCAGGTACGTGAGGCGGGGGTGACGCACGAAGGGGACGCGGGCAGGCTGGCCTTTGAGATTGCCACTTCTGGGAGTCGGAGCGGCTCGGTTAGTTTATTGGCTTGGGGCCCTACCGCGCGACTCACTTCCGGTCCCCCCCCCCCGGTTGTTCTTAGGCGCCTAGTTTCCGGGTAGGGATCCTGAGAGACGGAGGGAAGTTTGCAGCCTCGGGCCGAGATGTCTCAGTACGTGAACGACCTGTGGCCCGGCTCGCCGCAGGACGAGGAGTCCCCCTCGACGTCTCGGTCGGGCCGGTCCAGCCGCCTGTCCTCGGCGTCCAGGAGCCGCTCGTCTTCTGGGAGCTCTCGGTCCCGCTCCAGCGGCTCGAGCCGGGCGTCGTCGCGGAGTCGGAGCCGGCCCCGAAGGAGGAGCAGGTCCAGGTCCTGGTCCAGGCGGCGCCACCAGAGGAAGTACAGGCGCCACTCGCGCTCCTGCTCGCGCAGCCGCTCGCGCTCCCGCGGCCGCCGGTACCGGGACAGGCGCTACGGCGCGTCCAACAGATATCGCCGGTCGCCGTGGCGGCCTCGCTCTCGCAGCCGGTCCGGCTCGCGGGGACGCGCGTATTACCGACGGGCCTACGCGCTGCCGCGGGGGCGGCGCTACTACGGCTTCGGCCGCACCGTGTCCCCGGAGGAACGCAGAAGATGGAGGGGCCGCTCCCGGACCAGGTCGCGGAGCCCCACCCGTTTTCGCTTGAGTGAGAAAGGTGAGTCATCTGCCGCGAACCTTTCCAGCGCACTCTTGTACGTGGCTGGCGACAGCACGAGTACGCGGGGGGACCAGAGTTGCCGTGTAGTGTGGATATTTCCATTGCTTTTGGTGCCTGTAATCTTAGTAGTTTCGTTGGGAGCAAAGAGGGAAGGGACACACGTAAGCAGGTTAAGAGCAGTTAAAAGCGCTGTTTTTGGTGCCCAGTTTTGAAGTGGTCGTTCTTTTCCCCTGGGGTCTAGAAGTCGACTGTGGTATTAAACAGCTCGCGGTGGAGGAAATCCTTTTTCCTAGTGGCTGGTCCTTCTCGGTGGAGCCTTTCTAGGTATTACTAGTGACTCAGCAGTTTATTCCTTAAGGTTTTGTTATCTGTTGAGCGAGAAGAGTATCAACTTTTTTCCTCAATACCGTGTTACTGGAACAACTGGATTTTGTTCCAATATTTTACTTATTAAGATTTATTTGAGAAAGCATGAGTGCGGTGAGGGGGAGAGGGAGAAGCAGACTCCCCACTGAGCAGGGAGCCCTATGGGAGGCTCGTTCTGGGACTCCTGGAGGATGACCTGAGCGGAAGGCAGATGCTTAACCGATTGAGCCACCCAGGCGCTGCAGTTCCAGTATTTTAATACAGATGATTTGTTTTAATGCTGGTAAGATCACAGAACAGAAAAAGACATGTAAACTAAAACTCATAGGAGTCTGAAAATGGATTGTATCTGCATTGGTTCATTAGTTGTGATGATTGGGCCATATGTAAAATCTATTACAAAAACTTGATATGTTCAGAGAAACACATTTGAAGAGAAAGGAAAAACAATTAGGAAATTCAGGCCTTTGGTAAGGAAAACTGAAAACCAGTTGTTGAAGATTATTTAGGGATGCTTGCTTGCTTTTTTTAGCAAAAAAATGAGGTATAGAATTTTGTTTTTGTGATTCCAGCTGTATTTTACCCACTAAAATAAAATATTTAAATGTCTTTATTGTTAATAAAATACAAGCTTGTTTTGTGATTGGGCAGTCTTTGGGGAACTGTACTACAGGATTAAGGGATTAAGGAATGTCTTGTCTTGTTTTTGTAGATCGAATGGAGCTGTTAGAAATAGCAAAAGCCAATGCAGCAAAAGCTTTAGGGACAGCTAACTTTGACTTGCCGGCTAGTCTCAGAAAAGTTCTTGCATCTAAAGAGACGAACCATGGAACAGCTGTACCAAACAGTGGTGCAACGTTTGAGGTGAGTACTCTAGGTTTATCCAAACAAAATCTTCAGAAAGCTACTGTTGGAAAGATCTAATTGGCCATTTTTATTTGATTTATTTTAGAGTGCTTCTTGGAAAGCCTAAATATAATTAAGATCAAAATAGCAGCTCTAGTGAAGGTCTCTCCCTCGTGAAAATGGGAGATTAGTGATCTTCATTTTCATGTGACTCAGTACTAATTACTTTCATAGTTGTAGGTGATATTTGGCGATTTCTATGTACCTATCGACTTTTTCTAACTAGCCTTTACAGAGTATTTTATCTGTAGTCTTCATTTGCAGCATTATGTTCCCACAAATTCTGTATTCAACATACAGTATAGTTTATCTGCTTTATTTCTGTCTTATAGAAATCATGAATGTGGTCTCCAGACATGAAGAAAATCTGTTGGTAATTGATACATGGGCAAAAACATCAGAGGTTTTACTAATTTGAAGTTTATGTTCACACACTGAAAGTTTAGTTTTTTGTTGGTAGATCCATGTGCATGCTAGAATTTGGGATAGGTACTATTTTGATAAGATACTGAAGACAATTTTTTTTTTAAAACATTTTGTAATGTGGGACATCTGTGATACAGATATCCCTTTCATAATATATGCAATATATTCCAGATGTTTTGAGAGATTACAGAAGAAGAGGCCTGCTTCACTTGCAGATAAGTTTATTATAATTTTCCAGAAATGTCCAGGATGTGCATTGGCAAATTGCACTGTGGTCTTAAAGTATAAAATTCATAGCCTTCAAGGTTTAAGGTAGTTATGAGTTTGACAGAATCAGTTAAGATAGGAAAAATGTTCTCTAGATAAACTTATCATTCAAACCCAGGTGTGGGTTTGCTTAAGTATTTAGTAATGAACAAGATCTTAGTCCAGTTGCTTTTTCAGATGATTAGGTTTCCAACTGGCAAACGCCTTAGTTCTTAGAAACTAGGTATTTTCTGGGATGACTTTACTTTCAGAGTTAATTGAATTTGCATCGGGGGAATATAATACTATTTTATTGGGGAAGAGTGTCTTAAGCTGATTATTGAATCAGTTTTGTTAAGGGGAAAGCTGGAATACTAATGTCGTTTAGGCTGTTAAGTATATGATTAGATCCAAGTCGATTTGTGTCTCTACAACTAAATTTATATATGGTTGGGCTGCATTTTATACAGTATGGTAAACCAAGGGTATGGTTTTTTTAAAGTATTTTCTCTTACCTGTTCTAGCTGTTGGAAAGACAAGCAGAAGATGGAACTAAAAATCCCAGTGAAAAGCCTTCCCAGCAAAAAAGCATAGCTTTTAGCTCTAACGTAAGTATATCTAGGCATTGGCTACTCAAAATTGGACTTAGGGACATAATTCTATTATGTGGGCTTTTATTTTTGTTGGAAGGCTCATTGTTTTTGTGGTGGTACTTTGGGGTCTACTAAGCCACTTTAGATAGAATAAACCTTTCATAATTTTTTGTACCATTCTTACAGGTGACCGGTATATTGGCTCCCTCTGTATCTGATACTCACATTTTTGATATCAGTGTTTTACTTTTTTACACATCCCTCCTATACTTGTTGAATTATTTAGAAAGCACATCTCAGAAAACGCTGTAATCAGAATATTTTAAAATCAGCCAAGGGTTGGGGCACCTGGGTGGCTCAGTTGGTTAAGCGACTGCCTTCGGCTCAGGTCATGATCCTGGAGTCCCAGGATCAGGTCCCGCATCGGGCTCCCTGCTCGGCAGGGAGTCTGCTTCTCCCTCTGACCCTCCTCCCTCTCATGCTCTCTGTCTCTCATTCTCTCTGTC